TGTCTAGATACATGTGTGCGATAGCGCTGATACCGCACGAGTGAGATATGTAATGCCGGGTCAATGTACGGAATTCTCTCTGTTCGGCGACCGCGATATACCATTGTAACAGGGGCGTTATGCTATTTTAGTTACGACGTCACATTTAGTAAAAATACAGTTTTGCAGACCATTGCCCATAATTTTAGTTCAATCCAAATCAATTTTCATTACGAATAATTACTCTGTATAGTAGGTACATAACAATAAATGTAGTTTTATTAGAGAAATATAATATTCAATTTCCATTGTTGTTGCTTGGAATTGGAATAGCCTTTGAATTATTCTTAATACAAAATGCTTAAAAAACCAACTGGTCCCTGGCACCCTGAGATGGGATTCGAACCCACGACCTTCCGCAATCCGGGCGACTGCTCTAACCACTGAGCTACCCAGGACCTAACAGGACTGACGAATCTTTCAAGCACTTGTTATATTTCGCTACTACACAGCGTATTCTCATCAATGCTCAGATGGTGCCAGGGACCAAGTGGATGTTTTAAGCATTTTGTATTAAGAATATTTTTCAGTATGGCATTGTGAATGTAAAATTAATCAACCAATATAATTTTCGCCTTTGGAATGGTTATAATTAGAATGTGTTTTTATGGCATAAGTTAACGTTGCCTTATTAAAACAAATAAATTTGAGAATTTATTGGTTATAAATACGAACTTTTATTTTGCCCTTTGCTTAACTTTTGATTGATATGGGTCTTCTTGTGTTGTCTATAAATGAATACAGTGAGTGTAGACTAGAGGTGTTATTACATTTAGCATTTCCCCATTGGGACATGTGACGTCACACGTCCATCTCTAGACCGTCTGTAGGCCTCATAACACTTACATTAGTGGAACACTTATAGAATACATTACATGTTTATATATAGTAATAATAATATATATCAATTCCTTTCATTTTCGTTATATTTAACTCACTACTTGTGTGATACATGTGCGCGTGCGCATACAATCATCTCGCTACACCACTTTATATTCTAATTATATTACCTAACAGTACAATTTTGTATGTATTGAATGTTATTTTTATTACTTTTAATTTTGTTATCAGCCTTAAATTGTGATTAATGTGAATATAGCGATAACACGTGAGGTAATATGCAGGCGTTGCTACTCGTACAAAACTATTGTCCACACAAAGATCACACGATTATTCCGAAGACTTCGAGTCACCATCATCGGCCGCGCGGTTACAATCATTTCTATCAAAAATAATACACGTATAAGAATGACTATATAGACTTTTACAATAAAAACAATTTTATATTTCAACGTATTTTACTGCGCCTATATTACAATATATTTAAAACATATGCATATGTTATAATAATGGAGTAAATGCTTCGCATGTTAAACATATAAGGTTATATTTTGGTCTGCACTTATGCTAATAGATAAAAACACAATGCAAAACACATAAACCCAGTCGGTACACGGTTGACTACTGAGATCATCATACAGTTACAATTGGACGTCACACACATTATTCTTATCTCAAAGTAAGGTACCGTTCACAACACATCTGTATTTACTCCAAGCGTTTGGTCGGGGTAAATTGTAATGCGCCAAACCTCGTACGTATTACACAAAGCTTTGTATTGATTATAAAACTTGATTATATGTATTAATTTAGTAAATTATGTTTAAATAATTTAATATTGAACTTCAGTTATATTACAGTAGCTTTCCGCCGGCAGTTTCGCCCGCCCGGTGTGTATTATATATATAAATCTTCCACTTGAATACCCTACGAATTTAAAAATAAAACCAGTCTAATATTGAATCTTTGGCATTAAAAAGTTTGACTAACAAAACACAAATTTAAAGACACGACTAAGTCAACCGTGTAAACAATGATAATAATATAATACATACAACATATTATATACATACAGACATTGTTGTATACATCTCGTGTATATGTAGTTTAAAGCTAACCAACTCCCTGGCTACTTACTGCGGTGTACCGTTGTAATATTATGAAATATAATCATGACAATAGTGACTTGATGACGTCACAAGACAGTTCATAATTTGATCATTTAATTGTTTTTTATTAACGAAAGTAATCATTGATTATAATGATTGCGCTTGCGCTTGTATCGCAATATCATGAAAGTTCAACTGTAGAATTAGTTTTATATTTCCAAACATCTTTATTTGTGCACAGACTTTTCTAATTTAGAGCTTAGATTTAAACATTTAATTTAGAAATTAGATCTAACTTAGAAAAACATGATTAAACAAATATATAAATATAAAAAAGTGCCGGGGACAAGTTGGAATTTTAAGCATATTTCATAAGTGATACTTTACTTAAACGTAAAACATTTTATTATAAACGAATATTTTCATTTATGTAAGCGTGACGTCACCACCTTTTCGCCTTCATTGGGCCACACTTGCATTATTTCGACACAGTAATTTGGAAATACGATTGAAAAAGCTGTGCGTGTCTTTGACCCTCTCAACATCTCTTATGTTATAAGTATATTATAAATGTTTTTTGTGGATCAGATCGATTCCCTAAATCGTTCTCAGCAAAACTTTTCTAAAAAAAAATCACTACAAGACCGTTGGTATACATACTTATTTTAAATTAGTAATAAATAAAACTATAAAATGTTTATTTGTGCATTTCTGATGACCCTAAAGTTGGTGTTGTAAATAAACATGTAATGTGAGCACAACGTTGCATAGTACAAAAACACCGCAGCGTAACAAGTTTGGTTACATTTTTCGGTTGTGTACAGTCGACAGCACATTAAGTTTACAAAAATCAGAATTTCTCAAATAAATTTTAAACTTTTATCTGTGCATAGCTAATTTGGATTTTTGTCTATGTCTAATATGTCCATAACACATATTAGAAGTCTTTGAATGCAAAACTAAGATACAGTCAACGGCACATTAGGTTGTAAAAAACTGTTACATTACTCCGTTCTATTTTAAAACTTAACACGTTTACAGTAAAGTTCAAAATTGATAGCAGACATTTCTCATTATTGTGTAGAGCCAGATGAGCTGGTGAAAATAATAAATATCAACCATATTAGATAACAGATATATCTCTTATGTTGCTTTATACGTGAACATATATAAGTGATGTGCACATTAACCGAGTATCCGGTCGCTTGCAGGTCGCTGCCTGCACCCCGCAGATACCCGCGAAGGCAAACAGCTCTCCAGAATGAGAAAATGATCGGGTTACAGATCACGTGACCCGATTACATGGGCTCCGGGTGAGTCGACGCGTAGAGTCCAAAAGTCCTCAGAGATTCGTGCCTGTGGACTGTTTTCGGACTCATTTATATATATTTATTTTGGGAAGACCAACAACTAGAACACACATGCATAGCAATTAAATAAACCATAGGAAGCCATTTACAGGTCGTCACAGATGGTTAAAAAATTGGTAAACAAAAAATCGACTCACGTGATACACATCGTTTTCTATTAATTATTATTTAGTCTGGAGATGTAAGTCGAGTCTCTAGGATTCCAAACATGCGATGCATATTCAAGATGGCTGCGTACACATGAATAATTGTATGAGGGGTTAAAGTATGAAATTGCCGTTTTATTGTAATAGGTTCCTTGAATTAACATAGAATCTTCATGGTTTTAGGTTTTCGAAAGAAACATTTTTCACATGGTTTCTATGATATTCTCCTTTTAAAAAATGTAAAACATCTGAATATCGACTTTCAATCGTTTTTGTTATTCAACTTAGAGAAGAAAGATGGATACTGTGCAAATTCGAGTGATTTATGAATAGGAGTTCCGAAGCGGAAGTAACGCGGCAGAAACAGCCCGCAATATCAATGTTGCGTTTGGAGAGGGGCCTGCTAATGAACGCACCATGCGATTTTGGTTTAAACGCTTTCGTGATGGAAACTTTGACTTGAAGAATGAGCCACGAGGAAGACCGCCCAGACAGGTGAATAACAATGAATTAAGAGAGATGGTAGAAGCCGATCCTAATCATTCTCCTCGGGAACTAGCGACATGATTTAATGTTACCTTACCAGCAATATAGATTCATTTGCGCCAAATCAAAAAAATTAAATGCCTCATGATTTGACTGAACTGCAGAAAGAAACGCGTGTTGAAACTTGTGTTGCTTTGTTGAATCGGTACAGAAATGAAGGAATATTGGATCGAATTGTGACATGTGATGAAAAGTGGATTCTTTATGATAACCGTAAAAATGCAATGGCTGACCCCAGGCCAAACGCCACAACAATGTCCTAAAGCAAAACTTACCAATAAAAAGGAATGGTAACCGTTTGGTAGTCTCAGCATGTCGTTATTCACTATAGTTTTCTCCGACCCGGTCAAGCAATAACAGCAGATGTCTATTGTGCCGAACTCCGAACAATGTTGGCAAAACTGGTAGTAAAACAACCCCGATTCATGAATCGATCTTCACCATTATTGCTCCATGACAACGCGAGACCTCATATAACACGAGAAACCGTTTTGACTCTTCAGAAATTGCAGAAGTCATTCGTTACTCTCCGTATTGGCCAGACCTCGCTCCAATGGACTACCATTTTTGTCGTGATTTGGACAATTATCTACGTGACAAGAAGATTTCTTCCCAGGAGGCAGTACAGAATGCTTTTACAGTTTGTGCAGTCTAGATTACTAGAGTTCTATCGCAAAGAGGCATAAATGGCCTTCAATTAGATGGCAGCAGTGTATAGATAATAATGGTGACTGTTTTGATTAAATGAATTTGTTAAAAATTAAACAATTTTGATTTTCAGTACAAATCGGCAATTTCATACTTTAACCCCTATCATTGCGTCAATAATAAAAAAAATGTTCTGTATTAACATTCTTTCTTCCAGTTACAATTTCGAAATTGTTCCATGGTTTTTCAAAATAATGCGTAAATTATACAATTTTCTAATCTAAGGATGCCTCTTTAAGGCGCTACTTCATCAGTCGGCAGAAACCTCGAGCGAGGTGCGGAACATTTCTGAAACGTTCGCCAGAAATCTTCCGCACCTCGCCCGCGGTGCTCAACTTCTGCAGCGCTCGCGATCGGCGAGGCCGGTCAGGACGACGACCGCGTCGTTCACTGTCGAATCGGCCGGTCGATCGATGAAAATCAGTTTTAAGTGTAATTATAACTCGACGAATCGAGCGATACATTAAAAAAATCAATGTGTTACCTTTTGCTGGGGGGCGGGGGCAGGGGCGGGGGCGCGGGCGCTAGAGCAGCGCGCAGGCGCGGCGGCGGCGGCGCGGCTTGTGCTCCTGCGCCGGGTGCGTGCGGATGATGCGCACCAGCTGCACACACGACGGCCGTTAGTGCGGGGGGCGGGGGGACGGGGGGACGGGGGGACGGGGGGACACGTACAGGGGGGACAGTGCGGCACCTACCTCGTGGAAGGCGGCGTCGATGTTGAGCGGCGGCTCCTTGGCGCTGGTCTCGATGTAGGGCGCGTGGAGGGCGCGCGCGAGGTCGCGGCCGGCCTCCTCGGAGACGGCGCGCGCGTGCACGAGGTCCACCTTGTTGCCCACCACCAGCATCGGGTACGTGTCCCTGCGCACGCGATCGATTCCTAGTCTCTCTTAAAAACCAGACGAATACGCGTCGATACGTAACGCACGCTCCCCCGCACGTGCACCCGACACATAATACGAGTATTATATTATCTACTCGTTGTTTTACAAATATGCTTTAACACTTTTACATAATTAGCGATGTATTCGAAGAAGCCTGCCTCCCGTGACACCTTATATGAGAGCGGGGCGGGCCGGGTCGACGTTCACGGCGATCGTTAAGTAGCAATCGCATGACCCGCCGGAAGGAAACTAACGAATATCACTAACTTGATATTTGCATTCGGTACGTGTATCGTATTCACTCCGACCTTCTGTGAAGACTAGAGCGAGTCGAGTAGACCTATCCTAGTGCCGGCGCCCCATGTGGAGTGCTTTATGACGGCGTCTCGCGAATGGCAGAAACGAAGACGAAAATAATTTAATTCTATCGATCGAACCTGTCTTTGACGCGGAGGATCTGCGTGTGGAAGTGCCTGATGTTCTCGTAGCTCTGCTGGTCGGTGACCGAGTACACGAGCAGGAACCCGTCCCCCTTGCGCATGTACTGCTCGCGCATCGCGCTGAACTCCTCCTGCCCGGCCGTGTCCAGTACTGTCGACGTTACATCCACGCTTCTTACACACTGTTTTCATATACGCTCGCCGGTTTTTATGGCTTCTGGCATCACATTCTAACAGCACGCGATTGATTTGATCACTTTCGCATCGTATATCAGTTCTGTCATTATTTCATCCGGCATTATTTGTAAGTGTCCAAAAGGAGATGTTAAAAGCCATAAAACAAATATCAAAGCATTCAATTCAGATATCGAGTACTAAAAGTTCACAAACTTTTTGTTTTTCGAACCACTTCACGTTCATAACAAATGAATCAAAAAGCTAATATTATTTCAGATAATATACCTTTTCCTGCTTTCAAAATACTAAATCTTTGAAAACTAAATTTCAATAATATCATCATGGATAGAGAATTATCCTTCTTTAAGGACATTAATTTGTAAGCATTGACTAAACGCAGTACTCACTGTGACCTTCATCCACCACCACCACCAGCCCTTTTACGTCCTCACTGCAGGGGCTCAGGCCTTCCTTATGGATGGTTAAGGAGGATGGGCCATGACCCTACACGCTGGCCCAATTGACCAATTGATTGGAGGGTATTGACGACTGCAAAAGCAGCTGGGACCAACGGCTTAACGTGCTTCCCGAAGCACGGATTAGCTCGAGATAATAATTTTTTTGGTCACCCATCCCGTGACCGACCCTAGCGAAAGTTGCTTAACGACTACGATCGCGGGCCGCGGCACTTATTCACTACGCCACCGAGCTACTCAATTCTTCATCCACATACAGCTAATGATCCCAAATGAATTAAACAAGAGATATTATAAATAAGGAGCTGCCGCATTCATTTAATCTCACAAAGCTCACCATCAAGGATGCACCACTGGCCGTCCACCTCTGTGTGCTGGATATAAGAATCCTCGATGGTGGGGTCGTAATCTGTCACGAACAGCTTTTGGAAGAACTGGATGGTGATAGCACTCTTGCCCACCCCACCATCTCCCACCACCACCAACTTCACCTACAAATATCATTCATAATTAAATTGTAAACTTCTTATACAGTTGCATCAGTATCGGGGTTGGATATAAACTGTTTTATTATCATTCTTTGCATGGACCCATGCTATACTCGAATAGGATTATCATCTACCAGGTTCCATGCCTGTGCACTAGAAACATGTATGTACTATTTTTAAAATTAGATGTTTTATGATTTATAATAACAAATAAAAGATTATTCACTTTGAATACTGACTTTGACTATGTATCAACAAAATAATATTATTGGGGCAAAGTATATATACACACAATAAATCTAAAAAAGAAATAAATTATATAATTTGCTGTCAGGGCAAATAATTTTTTTTTAACTTGTATTGAAAATGAGATGAGATGTTTGGGACCATTTTTCTAGACATTAAATTAAACACTTAGAACAAGGATATCAACTAAATATAACAAAAATCATGAACACCAACACAGAGCATAAGACACATACACTGTCACAATCTTTGAATATCGACATACTGCTTCATTTACTAATGTCCAACTCTGAAAACACAAATACTTTAAAAAAAGACAGACAAAGTACTGCAAAATTAGATTCCCTTCCCTACCTGACCGACTGAATTGACTCAACATATTACAATTTTATATTAAGAGAACAAAAGCTCAATAAATTATCTAATTCATTTTGATTAATGTGCATCACACTTGTCAATTTTTATGTTCCATTGTAGCATCAGATAATACATAGGTTCAAATACATTACATGGTTTACATGAAGGTTGTTTCCTGGTCTGCAGTAATTGACTGTGGTCATTTTAAGTGTGACTAATAATTAACCGCACAGATAAAAATAATTATATAACTTTTTAGCCAGAACTCAAGAGTTTTAGATATAGAAAAATTATACACAACATAATAATAGTTTCAAGTGCAATAAAAAACAATTAAGCATTTAATGCATTTATTTGTAAACAAAAAAACCGCTAAATAAATATATTAAGTATAAGTTACAAAAACACATTAAATATTGTTTAATTTAAATCAACCAATTATTTAGTTGCAAATACAGGTAAGTACTCTGAGGTGATACACAATTCATACGAAACTTATGCAATATTTCACCACTTATAATTTAAAAAAATAAATGTCAAATACAATAATCATTAAAAAATATTATGTTCTCATATTATTGATTTATATGAACCAAAAGTAACAAGTAAATTATACATATTTCAAATAGAACTTCCAAAGCTACATATGTGGGACACATGTCAGACTTCAGCATATTCTGTAATTGTAGATAATCTGCAAATTTGGAAGCCCTTATTTGTAGGTACAGAACAGTTATGAGAAAGGACACAATCAAATGTACCAAAATGTCAAAGTACCAGCCAATAAAACAAACTATTTATTTTGATGGAACATATTAATCTAAAAAAAAAATTATGGAAGCTAAGATGTGCAATAATTTACTTTCCTTGTCGGCTTTTATAACTAAAGATTTTTAAATGTTATTATTATATTCCATTAAAATTAAAGACTTCTTTAAATAAGTCTTTGTTCTATATCATTTTTTTTTTTTGCCATCACTTTAAACTTTTGGTATATTTTGTAGGAGTTGTGAATGATCTCATTTAAGTATCTCTTTACTCAAGTCTACATGAGCTTAAACTTAATATTATCATCTTATTATCATCAGTTAATCAGTCAACATCTTAAATTGATAAATTACAGTTGAAGACAAAATAATTCTTTTATGCTGCATCACATTTATTAAAAGAATAGAGGTCTCGCCCTGCCCATGACAGGATGATGATGACGTCTTGTACTCACGGTTGGCAGGTTCTCATTTGGTGGACCCGGCCTTGTCATGATCTCGCCAGGGCGTTGGTGCCCGCCGCAACTCACACCAGAAACTTCGAACCACGCTCATGAGCTTATTATCTGAAATGTCAGAATAACCACTAGATACAACGATGCTTTAATTTTTCTTTGTAATCTAAATCTAATTATTTTGATAAGACTGACAATCCGTCAGAAAATTATAAAATATTTTTGTTTTTTTTTATGTTGGCAGTATTTGTCGCCCGTCAGACGCTACAGCTGATCGAAGGCGATGTGTCGCGATAAATCAATACCACTTACCTCATTATTGTTGGTTTACAGTATTTGTGTATCGTGTAAGAACGGAATTATTGTTTCACGGGTACAACATACACTAATTAAATTTTAGTAAGATGGATAATGCGTTATACGTTACATTTACAATACTCAGTTTTACGGTGAGAAAACGTAACGTCACTTTTTTAATCCATTTGTTCCACAGACTAGTGAGAATAGTGACGTAATTCACACTTTCACGGATATTTCAAAAATTTTCGTTTAAAAATAAAACATAAGCGCCTTTAATCGGTGAATTATAAAAATGTGGGGTAAGTAGGTGTTTTATTTCTATTATAATGGCATTTTGTATAATATTAATGTTCAAATTAAGAGAGGAGAATCATAAAACTACAGCTTTTGGGAATTTCTTCTACTTTCTACCTTATCTAAAGCGCAATGACGAAGTATTTAAAAAAACATTAGTTCCCGAAATCAAACTAGATGTCGCTACCGTCTGTTCTTGATTTCTCCATGACAACCTTTCCGGTTTTCTTTTAGGTTTAAAAGTAAATTAGTTTTCAAAACTCAATAAACAACTCATATTCTATTTGTACTTCTTCGTATTTGTATTGATAAACAAGTTTCGGATTTTTAAAATTTCATTTTTTTTTATATGTTAGATAAAAGAAACAGAAATGACTGTCTTTGGCCCATTCGTTTTTTTTATACTTCCCCATTGTAATAGAATTAGTAGTTACATTGAATGCAGCTCTTTTATAACCTCTACCCTGCTTCATTCCACAAGTAGGAGAACCAACAAGCTAGGAACAAGTTCAATAAGTGTCAGCCAAGCCAGTGCTGCCAACTGTCAAATAAAATACCCGAAAATCGGGTAATTTTGTGTCTATAAAGAATAAAATACGGCATAACAAATAATCAATTAACAAAAAAAATTACCTAGCTATCTCTTTTGTAATTTTTTTTTATAGACTTGTGTAATTTTTGTATGTGTCGTATAGGTGAAGTAGTCCACTGCATAAATCAATCTCCTTCAGAAATTTTTAGATAAGACTTTTCTGTGTCATAAAAACCAGCAAAAAACTCAACAAGGTTTTCTTTTTAACCGACTTCAAAAAAAGGAGATTCTCAGTTTAACCTGTATGTTTGTCCGCGATTATCTCGCGTTTGGCTGTACCGATTTTGATGCAGTTTTCAGAAAAGTATTTATTACACTTCGGAGAAGGTTTTAGGTTATCTTAACAAACAAGAAAATAGAGCTTCGCACTTAAACACGGTTTTGACGCGATTTCAGAAAAATATTTTTAGTGTTACCTATTATATAATATTATCAATATCACTAAAAAGCATGAAATAATAACTTAAAAAAAATAGATCTGACTTCAAACTTTAAAAAGTTAAAAATAATACTTATTTCAAAAGCGACTTATTCAAGGCGCCTATAAATTAATTAATAACCTACAGAAAACCTCCGCCGTACTTTAATAGCATTTTCTTGAATAAGTCGCTTTTGAGATAAGTATTATTTTTCACTATTTTCAGTATATCGTACTGACAAGATCTTCCAAACCTACATCTACATTTGCAAGAAGACGGACGCGATAAACTCCGACTTTAAGAAGTGCTTGTAACAGCCTAAACTGATTAAATGATATTAAATTTGTATTTTAAAACATCTATCATAGGAACATAATCGAACATAATGTAGCTAGCGCAGGTGATGTACGGTGGACACAGTCATAAAGTCTGAATTGTGAATTTTATAATTAAGTCTTGTGAAAATTTTCTTAATTCGCTTTTTGACGAAACTCAATAATGTGGCAATATGATGTTTCTCATTTTCAATTACAACTTATTTGGTCGTTATTTCTTTGTAGGTAAAAAACTGAAGATGAAGTATTTTTATTAGTAATGATCTCAAAATAAAACTAGAGGTACATTTTGTTTGGTGCTTTGATAATTTGTAGCGTGCAATCAAAAATTGAAAAAATACCAGCGTGGAAGGTCATGGCCCATCCTCCTTAACCATCCATAAGGACGTAAAAAGGGCTGATGATGATGAATCAAAAAATATAGTTTAGAAATGCATTCTGATTTATTAACGTAATAAAAGGAAACTGTGTTACAAAAATTAATTTAAACTAGCTCAAAATAAAAGATGATTTACATCGTCTATTTTTTAGTCTCATAATGTTTTATATCAAATAATGGAAAAATCATTGAATGTCTTTTTGAAACGCAAATATTTTTATTTTAGTTTTTTGAAAGGAATGGAGACTACTTGAAAAAGCAAAAAAAGACATTAACAAAATTCTAAATCCATTAGATGTATAACGTAATCACTGATCAATTTATTTTATATTATTGAAAATATAAGCACCACGCGTTCATAAATAATTCAATTATATTATTTTATCATTAATAATAATACACAGAGTCTTAATACTTTATTAGTATATAAAGAGTTACACCCGTGAGTTACGTACGGTCTTCATGTGCAAACAATATAAAGATTAGTTTACATAGGTCACATAAGTAACTAAAACATGAATCCAGTAATTACAGATGATGCAATAAACATCAATTAACATTAACTTAAGAATTTTGTGGCCATCCTAATAAAAGTTTAGAAGTATAATAGGAAATTATTTATTTGTATTACTTACGAGCGAGTACTTACCCATAGATATTCTAAACAATATGTACGTATCAAATAAATACACAAAATATAGAACAATATTTAAACCGGTTAATCGGGCCACCACCAGTTGTGATCTGTTAGTGGTACCTACTCGTGGAGACGTGTGCTTACTGCGATGAATACATTGATATCTATTGTCCACAAATACATACGTATGTACACAGTATCATGTATAGATAGCGGACGTCCGATCCAGTCAGGCGAGAGATCAAAGATTTCTATCATAAACATTTCGCCACGCCCTATCATTAATGTAGTATCTACAAATATGCAACTTTACAGGAGAGCGGTTTAAAGATGAAAAGTTGAATAAAAACGATATTTTAAGGGTTAGGATTACGAAATTAGGCATGGGTGTTTTTTATTCTACGATATATTAAACAAATATAATAGATTAATTTATTTTACTTTATATACGTTACAATGTCACGTGAAGCTATTTTACACGGATATATTTTACTATCTTACGCAGGATGTGGTAGATCCAACTTTTTTTGTTGTATAAAATTCTATACTACGTGTCGGATGTGGCACATTTAACATTTTTGACTACAATAAATTCTGTACAATAAGTCGGATATGGTAGATATAAAGTTTTTGATCGGAAAACTAAGTATATTTTATTAATTTTCCTAGATACGTTGTTTCTTATACCAAAAAAAATGGAAATAATTTTCTATACAAAATTATAAATTTGAAATTTATTTTATTAATAAAATATGAGTGGCAAGTCTTTATATAAAGTTAATAACTTTGTAATATTACCTGTATCATTACATGCACCATTTTCAACAACTGCGTTTTTTGGTAAAATAAGGCTTAAAATTCTTGAGGATCTGCTTCTTTGCGGTCGACCGACATTATATCTTTGGAAATCAGAGTGTATGTAATGTTTCACAACAATTTGGCCCTCCAAAGAACCTACGTGCATTTTTCCCGACATTAACTATGTAACTGGCAGATCGACGCAAGATCGACACATCCACTCGTCGGTTATGTCCGATCAAAATTGACTGTAAGTGAGTACCTTCATTTTTGTATGTACACAAGCGACACTACCGACATTAATAACGTAATTATCTTCGTAATTATAAGAAAATCAACTATTATTTTTTGTGATATTATTCCTTACACCTTTTTATGAGGTTTTATACAAAAAAACAAAAATCGTTAAAATGCAGATCCCACATTAATGATAGGGCGTGGCGATTTGTTATTTCACTTTATATTCCGCTATCTGTTATCCCTCAGCTTCGCTCATGTAAAAAATACGCGAACTGATGTAATGTATAATGCTGTGATCAGCAAAGTGCCTTTTTTTCTTTTAGTCTTCTTCATACCGTTTTACTCACGCATGTAGACCGCCTTCGGAAATTTGAGAAGACACAGTGTAATGGTAGAAGAGTATTTCTACATGGATGACTTACTTCATGGCAGTCACACAGTAGAGCAAGCGATACTATTACAATACGAATGAAATCTGGGGGATTCAATTTTAGAAAATGAATGTCAAACTCAACAAGTCTACTGCGAGATGGAAACAAATTAAGAGATCAACAAGATGCTCAATACGAAATCAAGCACCCAGCATCCGCTAAAACTCTAGGTCTCCATTGAAACCTAAGACAAGACTACTTTATCTTTCAATACAATATTATTCCTACAAAAGCCACCTCTACGAAAAGAAAATTACTATCAGAAATTTCAAGATTATTTGACCCCCTAGATGGCTGATCCCTATTCCTATTACTCCTACAAAACTGAAATTATTTTTCCGAGTAGTTTGTTAGCTCGACTTTCTTCATTCAAAATACCAAGGTGGCTAAATAAGCAGCTAAGTAAGCAATATTGAGCTACATGGTTTTTGTGACGCATCACAGAGAGTATACGGTTGCGTCATCTATTGCGTCACTGAGTACTGTGGACAACACAACGTTTATTTACTTGTCTGCAAATCAAAATTGGTTCTACATAACAATAAAATTGCATTACTGAAATTAGAATTAAGTGGGGCCCTAGGTGGGTCGCAAGATTAATGAAAAAGGTGAAAAAAAGCTTAAATAATCACAATATCAAGATATACGGTTAGAACGACTCAACTGCAGTACTAGGATGGTTGCAGGGTAACCCGGAAAATTGAAAAGTTTTCATAGCAAATAGCGTGAAAGCAATCACGCAGGTAATGCCTTAAGATAGTTGGAGATATATAAAATAGAGAGAAAATCTCGCTGACAGCGCAAGTAGAGGTATGAAACTTCTCAATTAGCTTTACATATACTGTGGTGGAATGGGCTTCAGCGATTGCTATTATTTATACAAAAAAAACCGTGTAAATTCGAAACTAAAGAAGATATCTAGTTGTTGAAACAGGTCTACGTATCCATTACGGACTCGCAATAGTCAACGACAACA